ACTATTACATGGTAATGTTATTCCTTCAAAATGTAGCTTTTGCCTATCTTTCAATACCTTGACTCATGAAGCATTTGGCAGATTTTTTTTATTTATTAATATTTACCAAATCAACTAATATGCTGTCCCAGTCCTTGTTTTATCAAAGCTCTAAGCCCTAGATCCAACCTAAATGAGAACGTATTTAAAAACAAAAGTCAATGATACTATCGTTTTCCTTCCTGATCAAAAAACACCCAGAGTGCCAACTATTAAAAGCATTGTATAGAACCCTGCAGAATTAGTTCAGGGGACTCTATATTCTACCATGAGTGTTCAGCATTCGGAACCTCAGCTAGAATAGCTATAATCACTGAGTGCTAACGAGGGTGCTGTTGGCACTTTAATAGGGATATGCAAATTGCGTTTTGTGGCTGCCGAGTACATGTATGTGTGCAAATACCACCTTTATATAGCCATAGTGCCTCACAACGGGTAAGTGAACTTGCTACTGTGGCTAATGTGTGTTTTTTCCCGTTCATCAGCAGGCAGCCTTGAAGAGGCTCATGCCTTCCCTCCCCTTAGCGCTCCAGTGTCGAAGTGCAGCTAACACCCCCAACAGGGAGGCTTTCCTCTGACAGCCAAAATTCCTGTTTTCATGCTCCTGTCTACTATGAAGGAGCTGCTTAGGTAACTGAATCTCATCTGGGCAAACTGTGTGCCTAGCTCATGACAGCTAAGTATTACCAGTGCTTCGAGGACATATCAGCAGTGTGAATGTGCACTCTACACTGAAATGTGGGATGTGTATCGTGTTTTCAGCTTTGAGGCTTGAAGTGTGACCTTCAAAGCCCATGTCACATGGTCGCTTGGCTAGTCCGAGGGAGAAAATCTCCCTTGAAGATCAGCTGCTGTTAGCTGGAGAGGCAGCAGAACATCTTCATTTGTACCTTGGACCTGTAGAACAGAATATTGATTTGCACTCATGGCACTGACCAGTATGTGTATTTTATTATTGGTTAAAATGCAGGTCAATTTTAAAGAAGTAAAGTTTGACCAAAGTCACTAGAAATCAAATGGCATAATAGCAAGTTGTACTACTGTTTTGTGGTGGGTTTTTTTTGTTTTGTTTGGGTTTTTTTTTAATTGATGCATTATTTCTTAAACCAGATAGGATTATTAGCTCACCATTTGGACATGTTATACAATGCGGGTGACACGTGTGACTTGTAATGACCTAGGTTTGTCTTACATCTATTTTCCAGGAAGTCAACCAAGTTTTTCTGGAAGTAATCAAAAGATGTAGAATCTCTTACTTCCTTAGTCAGTTTGTTTCACTTGCTTATCACCCAACTATTGAAATGGAAAAATAAGACATTAATCTTAATTTTCCTAGCTTTGTCCTCTCAACATAGGTTTTTACTATACTTTTCTCTCTTTGATTAAAAAGCTCTTTACCATCCGATACTTCCCCCTATAATCCAGTGAGTGATTTGGGACAATAATTTTCTAAACTTGAAGAAATTGTATAATTCCATAATCAAAGAGATTCAATACTCAGACTAAATACTGATCTTCATAGCAGTACTATTTAATTAAGGAGAAACCTAAGAAAAACCTGTGCATTCTATATACTGATTGTTTTGACAGATATGTACAGTTGAATTTTTTTAACTTATTTTACTCCCTAGAAAACTTTTTATCCAAATTCTTTAGCAGTAACAACCTAGCAGAACAGTATCTGATAATGGAGGGTAAAAGGACAAAAGGATTATTTTGACTCACTTAAATAATTGCATATAAATCCGCTCCAGTTTTATTAATTTTTTGTCAGTGTTATCCACAAAATTACATGAAAAAGAATGTAGCTCACAGGTGAGCTAAATTCACTATAAGGCTCAGAGAAAAGATTTAGAATTAGCAAAATCAGTGCTAAGCTATACCACTTCAATCAAAATTCAAGTTCTGCTTTCTCAGGCAGTCAACATTTCCGTGGGCAGAAGCTGAATTTTGATTGATTACCACCTGACATTGTAAGTAATTTGTTCTTCATCAGTATTGATCCCAGCTGGAAGTTCATGCCCTTGGGACTTTGAAGTAGGTTTACTTCAACCAATTGATGCTTGTAGCAGTGAATTATGTAGAAATTGTAACTGGATTTTTGGTCTGGTTTGGTTTTGTTCATTACTGTAAACATAAATCTTCCAAAATATTTTGAAGTGTTACTCTTCTAGATGGCACTGCTGTTTGTCTTTTTTTTTTAAATTAATGCCATCAAGTTTACCTGTTTCTCTTTTAAAATATTTATATTGTGAAAAGCAAACCTATGAATGGCTTAAATTTTAGCTGTTATTGTAGGTCAGGATATTGACTGGCAATTGCAATACCAAAATGACTGGCTGTACTTTGCTTGTACTAACTGTTCAAATTTTGTTTGAGTTCTTGTTCTGTTTGCTTTGCAACTCAAATCAGCCATTGCAACAGTGGGGAAAAAAACAAACATTCTTACATTAAGTCAAATAATCTGAATCTACCTTGCTTTCTCTGTAAATCTATGTGTGTACATTGATTACTGGTCTGAAACTGCATTCTGGCACAACTCTCCTTAAATATCTAGTAGTATTGAAATGATCAAAACTCATAGAAATTCTTTTCTAGCCTCAACTAATCAGTATATGCAAAAAGACAAAAAAAAGATTGATTTTTTTCTGGTGTGTGCGCAAGTCCTATGATTTCCAGGCAGGAGAAAAATAAGGTGACATTAAGGTCTACTTATTTTACAAATTGAAGACATATTACAGTATGTAAAATATGGCTAACAGGCTTTTAAATGTACATCAACTCCTAAACTTCATTTAGTTTCTTTGGTGGAAACTTACTGTTATAAAAGCAAAAGCTAATAAATCTAGCATGCATTCATTTTGGGGGTTAAACTGACACCTACTGGTGTTCTGTAATACAATACATGCAATTAGTGTGATGACAAAATATACACAATATTCTGTGTACATTTCCATTTCCCTGATGCTGTTAGCAGCCCTGTTGATGACTCAGTAGGGTGGAGAAAAGCGTAACAGGCAAATATAGCAGGTGGGGCTGCCTAGCACATCATGCCAGTGGACAGGGATGGTGTGGAGCTCCCGTAGTTACAGCATGTTGCATTCGGACTTACCTCAAGCTTCTGAAATTGCCACGTGGCCTTTTTTCCTCTCAAGATTTTTTAAAACAGATTATGTTTATAATCTTCAGAACAAAAATATTCTAATAGGTTTGATTTCTATCCATGTTTCCTCAAGCATGCAGTGACTTGGCACTGCCCACGTCCCCACCTGGTCGCTTGGTCTATTGCAGTAAGAGAACTTCTGTGGGTCCCACCGCACAGGCGGCGGCTTCGGGGAAGCTGGGCTGGGTTTGCCCTGCGGGGCAGGCAGACACCCTGCCTAACCCAGGCAGGCTGGTGGGCTGCAGCCCACAGATGCTGTGGTGGCCTGGCCAGGCACAGGCTGGCTAAAGCTGATGCTTCTTTCACCCAGTGCCAGTCAGCAAAGGACTGGAAAGGAAGGAACTGGTGAATGGTGAGATAGGTGGGAAGGAGGAGGGGTAGTGAGCGGAAATATGGTCATGCGCTGGCAAATGGATGCTGACCGCCTGCTGTATTTGGACATTTGGTGGAAACAGTAGTAGAGCAAAGGGGAGCAATGTTATTGGGGTCCCCAAGGAGGAGTAAAAGCTGTAGCACAAGCCAGTCTCTGACTAGATGTAACCAAAAAACATGGGAGAGCATGGCAGTTGGAGTAAGAAGACTTTCTGTTGAAGGACGTGCCTTATTTCACCCTGGGAGATGTGTTCAGTCATGGCTTTTCTCTTCTGCGGCTTCTAAGCTGCTCATCGGGAAGGGGATTTAGTTACAAAGAGAACAATTATTCCAATTTTAGTTAAGCCAGGGCACCAGAGCCAAAATTACTCGTATTCTGCTCCTGAGAAAAATATAATAATATATAATGTGGTTTCTTGATAATGATGAAAACTTATTCACCACTAAGTCTAGTTCTACTCTCAGGTTCAAATGCTAACTCTGGCTGAATGCTGCTGAATCACCCTGCCCCTTCCCCCCAAATCAGGGCACTGGGAGTGTTCATGCTGCCAGGGCCCTCATACTCCATCCTCTGATGAGAACCCTGAGTACCTGTACCTGCAGGTGATTCAGCAAATTACCGTGACTGCAGAGCTCACTGTTGGGCTTGTTGTCACTTGGGGCAAGAGCCCCGTTTGTCCTGTGAAACCTGAATTCTGGCTCTGGGATGGGTTTGAATTGAAGCTTTATACATGTTACTTAGGGTGAGGTCCAAGAAAGGATTTAAACACAAAAATAGGACTTTAACGGATTTTAGATGCTTTCAGTCAAAAGCCCTAATGCACAATCCCTGCTGAGCCCTGAGGGGTTATTGACTACCTTCAGTCTAAAGTAGATTAAAGCACTTGAATATTGGGTCTCGCCAACTGGTTCACCTAGACTATAGCTGGTGAAGCAGTCCTTGTTGAATCCCTTTCAGGGATCTGGCCAGTAATTCATTTTCTGTCTTATCTTTGAGCTGTTGGG